GGTCGTGAACAAAGTCTGATCATTCTCTAATGCAAGTTCCAATGGTCTGGCAAATAGGGTCATAACAAAACCGGACGACGAAGCCACATTCATATCATCCGGTGCAGGTTCGAATGGTTAGGCAAATGGGCTAAGTACTTTAGAACTCGATGATGAAGTCACATTCTTACTTTTGTCCATGTGTATTTTGGGTTGGGGTGTAAGGGAGTGTGTTTATTCTATATATGAAGAAAAATATAGTTTCTGAAACGTGTAGCTTTGTTGTGTATTTATGGGGAAATGAAAATACGAAACCTTATTTGTGCAAATATGTGAAGGGTCATTGGTCATGTATTTAGGTTTAAAGATTATGAGTGTGTTTGAGACACATTATTTTGGAAGAATGTATTCTGAAATAGTATATTGATGGAGAATTTGTAGTTGAAAAAGAAGGAAAAATTATTGATGTGATGAAAAATATTATTTTATTGAAAAATGTGTGGTTGAAAATGAGAAGAATGAGAATGAAAATGTTAATGTGTACCAAACAGGGCTATAAGAGGAAAATAGTATGTTGAATTTAAACGGTGAATATACATGCATGTGTTGGACCTGCGTGCAGAAGGAGTTCAAATTTGGAAAAAGTTGTCTTCACAGACTTGTTTGACTTTATTTTCTAGATACATGAACAACCCATTTGTCGTAGAGGTGATGGTTTTATAGCGAGTGGGTGAGAGGATGACAAAGCAGATGGCCACGGCCATGCAGAATGTTCCTCTCCCCATCGCCGCTGTTTCGTTGAGGGCCACCCTCTTTCGCTCATTGGCGGTTGGAGGAAGAACCTTCCTCGACACCAATATTGCTGGTGTTTGTCCTGGTTATAGATTATGAGAAATGTGTAATAAGATTAGATAAATAGCAAGAATGATAAAAGCCAACAGTTAATCAGCCTTCCAATGGTTAATTAAAAGTCATCAAGTGTCGCACTAGAAGACAATATATCTTCGATAGTTAGAAGACATCAAATTTGTACTTTATGTGCAGAACATGTGCATATAATTAGTAACGTGTATGCTTTATTTTTCATGCAAATGTTGGATATTGATAAATTGAAATAAGAATTATGAACCTTCATCTTATGTCGGAACTTTTTTGTTCTTAATTAATTCTCACTCCTTAACTTTAAAGATTAATGAAAATTAGGAATATATTGCACCACTTTTATAAAATACTAAGTGATGAGCGTAACAAAATAAGTAGAAGGCTCTTGAAATTTATCCACATTCCCGACCAATTTATGTACGATGTCTTCTTTTTTGTTACAAGTAACGTAAAAAACTACTTTTTAGCAAAACTGAACATGTGTAATTTAAACATTTACTCATTTACTTATAATTTAAATTAAACATGTGTACTTTAATGTTTATTGCATGAATTCAATATCTAGAATACTATATTTTTTCAAATACTTCTTCATGTATTAAAATTTAAAAATTAATTTTCAACATAATCAAGATCTACTTGATAAAATTACATCCCTGTTATATTCTTTTGCGTTCCATGATCTAGGCAATTATGATTATAAAAAAAATTGTTATAATATTGATTGAATTTAAAAAAAAAAACGATACTTAAATTATGAGTGAGGGCATCATCGTTCAAAATTGTCTCTCCAATAATAAGATTTTTATATATACTAGTTGAGATAAGTTATCCCGAACTTGTGTCCTATTTATTAATCCCCAATCATTTTTTATGATTTGATAATTCGCTTCTTTTGAACTTTTTCGACAACTCGACACATTACACCTTGCTTTGATTTTATTTTTGCAAGAATATTCTTATAGTATATAAAGCTATCTTGTTTATTTTTGCCACATAAATTTATTTTTGATTGGTGGTTGTTTATTGCTTCAAATCCATATTTTATTATATTCAATAAATAGATAATAATTTATTTAACAAGAATTGACCCGTCGGTCGAACCACTGGATCACCGGTTGAACTGCTGACCAGCCGACCCATTGCATTATCCGAGTCAGTGTTCGGGGTCGGGTCTGACAACTATGTAGGAGACAATCAAGGAAAGTAGATCTGGACTCAAACTATAGATACTTCATGAAGTCTAAGTAAGTATGTATGTATGTGTGTGTGTGTGTGTGTACTAGGTGCAAGCAACGTGCAATGCACGTTTGCTTAGTTTATATTTAATATTTTTGTTTAATAATTAATTTGTTATTAATAAAGATGTAATTTTTTTTAGTTAATTAAGGACGTGTCTGGGCGCCCTGCAAGGAGGAAGAAAAATTGATTATATTACCGGTTTTTTTTTCAAACTTACAGCCCTATAGTGAGAGAATTGGTCCAAAATTGCGGCTCCCAATGGCATGAATTGTGTTGTCAACGGCTTGATTTCTGCTGAAAAGCAGAAACAGACACCTTATAAATAATTAATGATGTAATGTTTATATAATTGATAAATAATTAGACGTGTGATTTTGATATTGTGATGTATGTTGGCGAGATTGAAGAAAATAAGCCAAAGTAGACAAATTTGGAGAAAGAGCTAAATTGTAAGGGATCCAAAGTTCGGGGGCTAAAATGTAAATACTTAAAAGCTGTGTCGAATCTCACGATGAAGATTTGAGAGTGCTCGGAGTCAATTGGATAAAGAAAGATGTCAAGGGGATCAAATTTAGTCAAAAGATGATCACAAATCAATTTCCAACCGAAAAGTTATGCTCCGGTGTTTTAGTCTCATATTGAGACCTATTTTTTTCATAGGAAGTGATCGAATTGGAGAATGATGTCTGAATTAAAGTTGTATCCAGATGAGTTAGCTTTCCAACGCATTTTGCATCACCTCAATAGGATATCGGAATACAAAGTTATGATAAAAACACTGAATGAAGGTGCAGCTGTCTGTTTAAAACAAGAAATTCCGTTACATAGTCCGTTATATTGAGACCTATTTTTGGCATATAAAGTTGTCGAATTGGAGAATGATGTCTGAACCAAAATTGTAATCAAATGAGTTAGATTTCTAACGCATTTAGAATTGCCTCAATCGGATATCGGAATACAAAGTTATGATAAAAACACTGAAGGAATGTGCAGCTGCTTGTTTAAAACAAGAAATTCTGTTAAATAATCCGTTATATTGAGACATATTTTTGGCATAAAAAGTGATCGAATTGGAGAATGATGTCTGAATCAAAGTTGTAGCCAGATGAGTTATCTTTCCAAATCATTTTGAATTGCCTCAATCGGACATCGAAATACAAAGTTATGATAAGAACACTGAAAGAAGGTGCAGCTGCATGTTTAAAACGAGAAATTCTGTTACATAGTCCGTTATATTGAAACATATTTTTGGCATAAAAAGTAATCGAATTGGATAATGATGTCTGAATCAAAGTTGTAGCCGATGAGTTAGCTTTCCAAAGCATTTTGAATCGCCTCAATGGAATATCGGAATACAAAGTTATGATAAAAATACTAAAAGAAGGTGCAGCTACTGAAAGAAGGTGCAGCTGCCTGTTTAAAACAAGAAATTCCGTTACATAATCCGTTAAAACAACAAAGTCAGTTAGTTTTTCCGTTAAACCAACAAATTCCGTTAAATAGACACTTTTTATATATAGAAAGATATATAAAATCTATTTCCAACATTCAAATTTATAATGTTCTCAAGACAGTTTATTTCAATCGAACTCAAGAACTGAAGAACATTTTGCATTTGGACAGTTTTTCATGCAAGTCTATATTTCTAGCCCATACCTATTTTCCTTCCCCTCTATATATTTTTTATACTTCTATGTATCATCTCTTCTTAAAGATGGAAAGATGTCAATGTATACTACACTAAATGCAAGAAAATGAGTTAGTGTCTTCTCATCTACAATATATAAAAAGGTTGGATTGGGGCGAAATTTTTGATTACCAATTTTATCCTTACATATTTAGATATAGATCCAATATACCCTCATTTATCCACATATCTTCAATTTTCCATTTTACCCTTACATATTTATATTTATGGTCAATAATACCCTTGGAATTAAATTTATTTAAACTAAATACAATTTGTCCCCAATTCATAGAAGATGGGAGAAGACTATAAATACAACCGTTGATACCACTTTGAGAGATGAGAAAGTCGATGACGAGAGGCAAAAACAAGATATTGATCTAGAGGAAGAAAGACAACATCAAGGAGGAGAATTCACATGCCAAATCAGTTTTTCTCATTCTTTTCTTCTTCATGTTCCTAATACTAGGCTGGATTATATATTTTCTCTTATTCATGAACTAAAATTCTAGAACTAGGGTTTGATGTAACATAACTTGAGACATGTTTTGATTTTAATATAGTTATTTCTTTTCGTTTTTCCATGAGTTTATTTGAGTTGATTATTGCTTATTGCTTTCAATTACCTGATCAATAATTGAATGATTTGATACTTTAAATTTTAGCATTCGAGAGAGAAAAATTTAGACGTGATCTAAGAATAATACATCCTAAATTTTATAAGTTTTGAGAGAAAGTATAAAATTTTTGAAACATATTCCACTTAAGAACCCGAACTTGATGATTTTTAGATTTTAATTTGAAATATACATATTTGAATTAAAATATAGAGAAAGGTTCTATTTGGCACTCGAGAGAGAGGATAGAATTAATTTTGGGTTCTTGCTTATAAATTTAGGAAAAATTGATAGAAGTAATTATACCATTTGAGAAATATTATCGATAGTGCATTGAAATCATTCCCTAGACTTTCTCACTTTGGATAAATTTCTCATATAACTTGTGTTGATTTATTTGAATTTGCCAGCACACCCATTTTCTCGTATTACTTGTGGTGTGTACAAAATGTGGTCTCATGCTTATTTATTTTAATAAATATTAATTTTAGAAGAATCTTATTATAAAACCTACTTCCCTATTTTATGCATTTATCATATTTCACATTATTTTTCTAGCTTAGCTGCCCACTACACTACACATCGTATCTCGTATGGAGAAAAATATCAACCTCAAGAGTCTACCTACTAACTACCTTTCTTCCGCCACCACCACTTACTCCTCCTCCATCACCACCATTTCCACCACCTCATTCGACGGTTCGACTCTTTCTCCCTCACACTACTCATCTACTGATGACAAAAATGGTAGAAAGAACCTAAAAGAGTGTAATAATCCGATTAGTTATCGTGGTGTGAGAAAGCGGAGTTGGGGAAAATGGGTGTCTGAAATTCGAGAGCCGAAGAAGAAATCAAGAATATGGCTCGGAACATATCGCACGGCGGAGATGGCGGCACAAGCTCACGACGTGGCTGCTTTAGCCATTAAAGGCCACTCGGCTCATCTCAATTTCCCTCATTTAGCTCGAAAACTTCCACGCCCCGCCACCACTTCACATAAAGACATCCAATCTGCAGCCGCCAAAGCTGCAGCCACCGTATATCCAGACCAAATTAAAAGCGGCGAATTTGAAGCTGAAGCACATGAGCTGATGAGTCAAGCCAAGCCGCTCTCCAATTCTCATTCTTCAACAAATTTAGAAGCATCCAATTCTTGCTCAACACTTGATGATGACGACACATTTTTCGACCTCCCAGATCTTTGTTTCACTGAAACAGATCGTAATGTCAGATTTTCTTACTGTACTTCTTCATGGAAGCTGGCTGGAGCTGCCGCCGATATAGGATTCGAGGATCCATTGCCATGGTACTGCTCCTGGAAATAATTCACCCCGTTCAATAAAAATAATGAAAAAAAAAAAAAAAAAAAGAGAGAGACCATTGTCCAATCTAGAGAAATGTTAAGATAGCTCATTTTGAAAATTGTACCCAATAAATGTTAAGATTTGTGGTTCATCTTAAAAGGTCAACCTTATTAAGAGAAGTAACTCAAATTCTTATAAATTGATCTATGTTTTCATTTTCATTCGATATGAAATTTTATCCCTTAACAATAAATATGCAAAAGGAAAAAATGTTTATATAAACTAAAATATTAAAAAATTGTAATTAGACTATTACCGTAAATAAGCAAAAGGAAAAGAAATAATATAAATATGCAATATTTGTAGATTTCTCATTTTTATGAAATACCACTCTCAAAAATTACTTTATCACTATGCAAAAAATAAAAATAAAAAATCATGTTTATTCCCAAAAATTTGAACTCGTCTATATTTTACTGGTTCACACATTCAACCTCAGCAAAATATTCCAATAAAGAAAGAAAGAATGTGTCCATTGTGAATGTGATCAAAAAAACATAAAAAAATCGCCATTCTAAGTTGCATATTTTCCAGAGTGCATGGCTGGTTTGATAGGAGGGGTAAGGTTCCTTAGTGCATGGAACCTCCATGGGAAGATATTCTAACATTTATGGACTACATGGATATTAAAGTCGCTTATGTTTATCAAGAAGCAGATAAAGTAGCGGACTCTTTGGCAAAGAAATTATGCTGGTGGTACGTACCTCGAATTTTTTTTTATATTCTAGTTGCAGTTTTTTCAGGCGTACTTTTGGTTGGATTAGACTCGATAGTATTGGCACTCCTTTCAGATTTCAGTTAGTTTTAATTATTGGTTGTATTTTAATTTTGAGTATTTTCTATTTTCAAAGTTTTGCCAATATTCGTGTAAACATGGTATTCCTCCGCCATATGTAAGAATTCATCAATAAAGTTTCACAAGTACCGTACCCTTTCTTAAAAATAAATAAATAAGGTAATATGTTAATTTTAATATATTATGTTTTTGAATTATAGTTGAATATTTTCTTTTTTATTACTGTATGCAATTTGTAAATTTTTTTCAGAGTATAATTGATAGGATATTACTTCTGAATTGAGGAAAATGTTGAAGATTATTATAGAGTTGGGTTAGTGATTAGATTTTAGTTAACTGAGTATATAGTTTTGGAAATTTTGCCGACAATTTTGTTGGGTTCTGGTGATGGTGATGGTGATGGTGATGCTTTTCAAAAGCTAATAACTTATTAGTTGTGTTCAGTGGTTCGTAAAATCTTGGATATTAGACCATGCTTTTCAAAAGCTAATAACTCATAAGTTTGTCTTGATATGGAATTATGGATGTTGATCAAATGTATATTGATTCTAATGATGAAAATGTAGTAGTTTTAAATTGAAGAAATTTATACATAGCTTCTTAGTAAATGAAAAATAAGCATTCTCGATGCCCCCAAAATCTAAGGACCGCCCATGATTCTACGATTTTTGTTCACAAGAGATGGTACCCAAAATTTGTTCAATCTTAACTTTAATAATATTTCTCACACTAACTCGACTATCGTAACGCCACCAATCACTTGGCGACAATTGTACCATTGACCCCGTATTTCGAGTACGTAGTATTCAGAGCATCTCTAATGAAACTGTAGATTATTTCAAAAAGTGTCTCACATCAACTCCAAAATGGCATATGGCAAGAAAAAATGTGAAAAATGTTAGGTGGGGACCGTGGGGTTGTTCTAGATATCATCCACTTTTTTTTTAATTTATCTCCATTGAAAGGTGTGTTAGACTTTCTCCATTTAATTTTTAAAATTTGCTACGCTCTTTCTCAACATCCTCTCTCTCTTATATATGTGACCCATAATTAGTGCAATTCACAACTCCATTAAATATTCAACTAATATTTTACGACATTCTTTGTGAATCAACGTAAATATCACTTCCACGCTACATCACTTTCTATTTCTTTTTCAATGGAGAAAAGGCCAAAAAAACAAAAAACAAAAAGTCGTTTACATGATCTTATATAGTAGTTGGTTTATTGCTATCAAGATTTAACTGGATAATAGCATAGTACACAAAACAAGTGGCATACCATTAGGGCAAAAGGGGACCAGGTTTATTATTTGAATATCAACATTTAAATCATGGTTTCATTTGCCCTAAACCCTTCAAAATGCCAGTTTTTCCAAATGAAAAATTCATATCTAAGAGATAAAGTAAGTTTAATTTCAAAACTAAGAAACAAAGTTTAAAACTTCAAAAATCAGATATTAATTAAATTTTATTTATAAAAAAATAATTAAATATATATTGTATTAATTAAATATATTAAGGTCGCAAATCTATACAATTTTGTCACAAATTATCGAATTAATTATTTACAAATTATTTCTCGATCACAAATAAAAATTTTGTTAGGTCACAAATTATATCTCGATCACAAATCAAACATTTTATAGGTCATAATTTATTTATCAGTCACAAATCACAAATTTTATAAGTCGCAACTTATTGTACGATCACGACTTATCAAATTAATTGGTCACAAGTTATTTCTCGATCACACCTTAATAAATTCTGAGTCTCGAGTCATATATTAATTGTTTGCCACAATCAACCAAATAACTAGTCACAAACTCACCCCACCTCCAACCACAACCACCGCTGCAACCATCACACCACCGCCACATCACCAGCACCTCCAACATCATCACCACCCAAATAGCGCCAAAAAATCATATCCAAAATTATCACAACCACTGCCACGACCACAACAACGTCGCAGCCACCACATCTCACCATCACAATCACCACTACTACCCACCACCATCACATGTACAAAAAATCACAACTACCATCTCCTCTATATCTATCTTCACCACACCACAACCACCACCCCCACCAAAAAATCCCAAAGCTGCCGCCACCACCACGACCTCCATAAATCCACCACACCACAACCACCGGTGGTGTTATTAGAAGACACAAAAAATCCTAAAAGCACGGTGCTACGCCCTTCGTGAAGATGACTCCAAGAGAAATAAGCGGAGGGACAAGCAAAGGAAGTACCCTATGATGACAAATCAGTGTCGTTATAGTCGCGATGCTCCGTGATAGTCCATTGAGTGTGATTCTGTCATTGAAAAGAGAATGGAGAACGAGAGGGGGAAGAGAGAGAGATTTTAGGGTTGGGTGAGATTTTTGCTGCGTGGCAGTGGGGTTATGGATTTTTTTTAAAATTTTATAACTTTATTATTAACATTTGAAACATGTATTATTATCTGGTTTTTGAATTAAAAAATTTTAAATCCTAACTTCAAATTAGGAACTTGAAAACTAGGAAGGGCTATAATTTCCACTTTTTCCAACATGTTATCTAGTACCACGGTGGTGCTAGAATCGAATGTGACAAAGTCCAATTCAACAACGTCTTTCCCAGAAGAAGGGGGTAGTAAGAGCCCGTTTGGCAGTCTTGTGCTTCTTGTTGGAAAAAAAAAAAGAAGGAAAACTATTTGAGAAACAATCTCTAAAAGCTATTAGAAGAACACTTCCAAAACATTATCCAAATAAGTCCAAAATCAATTTCTTAATCTTATTTATTAGACATAAGCTCAAGTTTATCTCCGGTAATAAAAACACTCAATATCTTATATTCTTCTTCGAAGTCTATTTAACTTGAGCAATTATGTCTGCGGTGTTTCTCATAATTTGGTGCATATGGTCAATTAACTTGGGTTAACCGGCATAAAGCTCGCTACTGGAGTTATTTTAGTCGCTTAATGAAGAAAAGTTTGTACTTAAGATATGAAAAATAATAATGAGCTTAAAATATTGAAATTATCTAGATGAGTAATTCATTATCAGTCCCGCCATATTTTGATGGCAGTAATTATGCCTACTAGAAGGTTAGGATGAGAGTTTTTTTAAAATCCATGGATGAACGTATCGGCTTAGTGTTATTAATGGTTGGGCTGCACCTAGTTCTATGTTTAATAATGGAGTAACCACGACTCCCATTGCTAATTGGACTAGAGTGAACTTGGATGAGTGTAATTGGAACAAAAAAACCTTACCTGCCCTATTCTACAGACCACACATGAGGGAACTCATGCGGTTAAGAACTCGAAGTTGCAGATGCTGATCATTAGGTTTGAAATGAAAGAAAATGAGATCTTTGATGAATTCTATGTAAGTTTAAATGACATAGTAAATTCTACCTTCAACCTAGGTGAGAAGCCTAAGACAGTAAAAAAAATTCTTATATCCCTACTAGAAAGGTTTAGACCTAAAGTTACAGCAATATAAGAGAGTAAGGACATAGATTCCATTATGGTTGAAGAGTTGGTTGGATCTCTCTAGATTTCTAAACTTACATTAGGTAAACCTAAGATTTAGAAGTCAATTGACTTGAACACCATTAGATATGAAGATTCTGACTCTACCCATTTAGATTTTCCTAACAAAGAGGAGTTAGCATACTTTGCTAAAAAATTCCGAAAAATGCTTAGGAATAAAAAGAAACCTAAAGAAAGAAAGCGAGGTGATACCAGTGAGTAAAAAGGTGATCTTAATATGTAAGATGTCATAACTATCGATGTTTGGGCCACGTTAGGAATGAGTGCCCTAGTAGTAGGAAAAATTTGGATAAGGCTATAAATGCTACTCTCACTGATGACGAGTCTAACTCGAACAATCAGAGTGAGAAATCTACTCTTGAAGAAAGTGGAAAATATATTGCCTTATATTGCCTTTACTGCTAAAATTAGGAATGAATCTAATATGGGGAGTGAGAAGGCTGAGAACGTAAGTAGTGGTGAGAATTCAGAAGAAGATTTTGATAGTGAGGGCAATTTTAATAGTGAGAGAGATGTTCATGAGGCATATAATAGAATCTATGGGGATAAACATGTACCTAGCCCTGAACCTAATAATAAGGGATATGTAGGATAGAGGCCTACTAGATAGCTTAGGACCCCCCAACCTAGGAAGAGATATCAATGATCTCATAACTTTGGTCTTAGTTTTATCCCTACATGTTTTCATTGCAGTGAGGTAGGACACATAAGGCCTAGGTGTATCATTTCCTGAATAGAAATAGAAATCAAAACTTAAATAGAAATAAGAATCAACAGTTTGTTGGTCAGATTGACTTTCTTACTAATCAGGTGAGACAATTGACCAAGTTAATGACACATATGAATAAGAATATTCCAGTCACTAGGCATGTTTGGGTGAAGAAAAGTGATCTAAAATTTTTCGAAGTCATGATGCTCTTAAAAGGTAAGAGCATTTGCATACATAACTAATTAGGTATTTTTGGAGCATGCTCTCACTTTATCATTATGTGAATTGATTTATGAATGCATCATATTTGTTTATTTATTTTTTAGGTAGAAAACTCATGCATATTTTTTATTTTTATTTTTGTGTATTTGAATTTTTGTGTGTGCTTGGTACATTCATGTTTTAAAAAAGAAAACAGCAAAAAAATTGAAAATTAAAAAATAAGAAATGCACGAAATTATTTTTACAACCATAATATATAATATACTTTAATTTGTTTATTGTGATCAAGCATGGATTTAATCGATGAGCTGTAACATAGTTTTCATTGTTGACTTAGGTTATTATGGAGTACTTAATATAGGTGTCTTCATATACCATCTGCACTGCACACACTATGATATTGTTAGTGGGACTCAACCGCGTGTGTGAGATTTGAGATGTCAATCACATGTTAGTAAGGTGACTTTAAATATGAATTGACCATATTTATTAGACCTAAGCTCAAGTTTATCCCCGATAATAAAAAGCTTAATATCTTATATTCTTTGGAACCCGTTTGACTCGAGCAATTAAGGGTACGGGATATCTCATAACTTGTTGCCTATGGTCAACTGACTTGGATTAACTAGCCTATATCTCACTACAGGTGTCATTTTACTCGCTCAATGGAGAAGATCCTGGACTTAAGATATGAAAAATAATAATGAGCTTAAAATATTGAAAGATGTGAAAATAAAATATGCTCAAAGTCAGGGAGAGAAAAGAAAATATACATACAAAATGAGTTTTTCTTTATAGGTTCTAATGTGTTTTAAATGGTTTGACTTTCATAAGTAGAAAAAAACACTTATTGGCAGTGATGTTTAGCATGTGCTTTCTCACAAAATTAAGGTTTGGAGTCATACTTACCAAAAATTAGTGACACTTTACACATATGGGTCACTTATACAATTTACTCTATGTTAACTTAAACTAAGTATATGGAATGGTTTACTGTACATTGATTATACTTGTGCATACTAACAACTGCATTTTTGAGTCATTTGTGACAAAAATGGAGAGAGTGAAGTAATGAAATAGTAAAGGTTTTGAATGGGAGAATTTAAATTTTTGAGGTGAAGTAGATTGATAAGAGGAGATTTATTGATTGCATCCAATTCCATACCACATCTACCTAGCTGTTTGAGTTTTTGATATTTTTATGATGCTAATGTTTTGTTGGTGTTTGTATTAACATTAGTGTTACGTCTCAATCTAATTAGTGTTGGTGTCATGTGTTTAATGATTTTATTGTTTCCTTATCATGTGTTTTTACACTGGATATTTGAATTGTGGATTTTAGGAAAGAGGTTTAACAAGGAATACAAGATACATCAGTTTGATTAAGCTTGGGTAGTTTAGATTTTTTTTTTAATTTTCCTTAACTTATTGTAGAGTTTCGTCACAGAACGCCAAATGTGGAGTTTGTTAGATTTTTAGTGTTGACGATTCTATGGACAGAAGGACTAATTTGTAAAGTTTTGTAGAAGTCAAGGACCTAGGGTGCAATTTGTACAAATTGGGTTATGAGGTTTAGGGTTGGAGCATGAAAAGAGGAGAAACATGGCGCCGTATTTTTGCTAACTTCTTGCCTAGTTGGTACTCGAACGGCCAAAGCAAATTGTCTATCGCCTGCCTGTAGCTGAGCTTTCGCTCAAACGAAAGTGCGTCGCTCGCCTGTCGCCAGCTTCTCGCTCAAGCGACAGGTCGATCTGAAAAACCCTAATTTGCCATTTTGAAGTATTTTTTCGACACATTCAACGTAATTACCCTCTCCTATAAATACCCAAGCCAATGCACGAACTGTGGGTGGTTTTGTTCATTGTGTTTATTCTCTAAACACATTCATAATATCCTTGAAGATTCAACAGCCTATTCATACATTGATTCCATCTTTTTTTCTTGGATCATACAACCACATATTTGAGAAAAACATCTAACACATTGAATTCGAAACACCACATACTTCCTATTGGTCATAGAAAGGTACTCTTTCAGTTGGATTTTAGAAGTTTTTGAAAGTTGTGAGAGATTGGACTACAAGTGTAGAAAGAGCACAAGGCCTTGGAGCGGATTCTTGAAATTCCGCTGGGAAGAGACAATTACAGAAGATCTTGCAGGTCTTTGAGTAGACTTTGGAGTTAGCAGGAAATAGATTGAGAAGTCTAGTGGAGTTGACTAGATAGCATATGACTGTAACTCAGTCTGTATTGTCTATAATGGAGGTAATTGGCTTGATCCCGAAGTTTTTACCCAATTGGGGATTCTCCGTCATCATATCGGTGTTTATTATTGCTTTCCTTATTACTGCGATATTAAAACATAAGATAATCGAACTTATATGCTTGATCATTTAGAAACAATTAAAAGTGACTTGTTGATTTTGATTGATTAATTCTGCACGCAGGTTATTGTATATAAATTGATCAGAAATGAGGATAAATTTCAAGGACATTCTACTTATTTTGTTACATTCTTCCCTGATTATATTATAGAACTGGTGTAAATGTTGTTCAATATAAAGCACATGTTATGCATGTGAATCTTATGAGTCTCAGCAAAAGGAAAACACAAAGATAGCAAAAAGGGGATAGGGTTTCAAAGAACCCAAAAACTCATTTTTCAAAAGGAAATAGGAATTAAACTACCCTAACTGATGAGCTTGTAAATTAAAACTACTACCCTTCTACCAATATAAAATACAAGTACTAAAAGCACTATAACTAATTCCTCTAACAATGCACATATTTTGCACATAAAATACAACTTTGATTTATGCTTACATATAAATATCAATCAAATTTTTCAGTTAACACACACATATAGGGGGAGAGAATTATTATTTGAGACAAAAGATCACAAATTAAACCCTTCATTTATTCAACAAAATGCTTATGCATAACAACTTTTATTAATTATATAATTGAAACAAAAATAAGTAATTCAATTGAATCTTTCATCATCAATCTTATTAATTGTTATCCTTAAGTTGACACACGGGGCATAAACCTCTTGAGCCAAACAGGTCTGTTTCGAATGGCAAAAGTCACAACTTCCCCACCTTGCATTATAGCCTCAGGCATGTGTGGGGTTGTGAACACAACTTTTCCAAATTCTCCACTCCTGTGTATGTACACATACTGCACGCAATTCCCATACATCCTAATGAGAGGGGAAAAAAAAGCATATATATATTATAATCTACTTAACAACAACAACAACAATTAAACAAAACTTAAAAGAGTCCAAAAATTTGTAACTTTAGGTTTAAGGAGTGAATATACATGCATGAATTGGTTAAATAAACTCTTGTAGCAACATTTTCTATGACTGATCAATAATTTCTAAGTCAAATTTAAATTAAACAAAAATTCAAAATATAAAGCAAGATTTTATCCTGTAATTACTCTGTAAAGTAATCTCGGATTTCGAACCAAGCCAGTGGGAAACCATGGGAAAATGTCATGAACAAAGTCCTGGCATTCTCTAGTGCAGGTTCCAATGGTCTGGTAAATGGGTTCAATACAACACCGAACGACGAAGCCACATTCATATCCTTCTGTGCAGGTTCGAATGGTTCGGCAAATGGGTTGAGTACTTTAGAACCCGGTGATGAAGCCACATTCTTACCTATGTCCATGTGTGTTTTGGGTTGAGGTGGGAGGGAGTGTGTGTGTGCGCGCGCGCGTTTGTGTGTGTGTTTACACTATATATGAAGAAAATTATAGTATCTGAATGCTGGAAAAAGACATGTAGGGTTTGGTGTGTATTTATAAGGAAATGAAAATATGAAACACTATTTGTGTAAAACATGTGAAGGCTCGGCGGTTTAAAGATTAGGAGAGAGAAATAGGGAATTCAAATTCATACAAGAAATCTGGAACATTTTTTTTTCCCCTTTCGGACAACAATTTAGTGGCATGCACACTTTTAGTGAACTTCCTAAAATGTTTATATTTCTTACTAAACTTTCCTTGACAAAAATGGAAAGAAATGAATGAGTATCAGAATATTTTATAAAAAGTTGGTTATGTTCACTACTGATATATGTGAGATTTTGAAATTGAGAGAATTTTCTTAGAGAGAACAAAATAAGATTATACCCAAATTAACATTAACATTATGTTCTATGTGTATATTCCGATTACCACAATTTAGTAAAACTATTACTTACACTTTTTGGATCGTTGTTACTTGTTAGAGATCGTTGTTAGAGTTACAATCCGATTTAAAGGATATATACATCTAATTCCATTACCGAATAGATCCATGTGTTAAGATTTGGGGTTCCATCTTAAAATGTTAATCTTATTAAGAGGAGTATCCCAAACTGTTATAAATTGGTCTATGTTTTCATCTTTATTCGGTATGGAATTTTATCTCTTAACACCATGTACAAATTATTAATTATTTCCGTTAAATCATGGACATAGTAAAGTCATAATCTATTGCATCTTTTGGCCTTGTTGTAATTAAAATGTACATGCACGTGTACATCACGAAAGCCCAGGCTATATGAGAAAAATTTAGTAATCGAATTAGTTCAAACTTGTTTTAAATTGAATTATGAACAAGAAAAAAACTAATGTTAAATTTGTAACAATGAGTTCGATTTATGATCTCAGTTCATCAGATGTGCTTTTGAATAAAATAAAAGGGAAAAAAAAAAAAGGTTTCATTCACAATAAGATTTGTGTATTTGAACTTCAATTTCAACTTGGATTCGACAACTCCATCAATTTTCATAATAGTTATATACCAAACTCCATACACCCATCAGGGAACCTACTTCAACCAAGTGAATGACAGTATTTGGTGTTGTTATCGCATTCGTAAATCTATTTTGCTCCTCACTTCTGCTTCAAAAATTCCTCCTCAACTGCGAGTTTGAAGCTACATCTGGTTTAATGACTAACTTGATAAGAGTGCGCTGATTGTGGTGGGAGAGGTGGTTGATCGCTGGAATTGGGGTTCATGGGTAATAGGGTCACCCTTTGAAATCATCATGAAAATATGTTGAGGTGTGAAACCCAGTAGCGGTAAGGGTAGAAGAAAAACTATTGTTTAGAAAGGAGTGAATTGATTTTTATATGGAGGACAGCATCAACCCTGCCAACCTATTAAATGCCCTTGTTTAAAATCTGATTACTTGTTGTAAATAACTAGAACGGCTTCAAAGAAACTTTCTTTGGGATGGTAAAAAGATGATAAGTATCACATAGTCAATTAGGAGGAAATCAAGAAGCCAGTAATTTTAGAGCCTTAGGAATTAGATATCTAAGTTGTTCGATCATGCTTAGTGGAATTATTAATTTTGTACACTGTGAAGTAGTTGGTGAATTGTAGAATTTTTTGCTTTCAGACTGTTTGGTGTGAAAGGGATCAATGCCAGCTATACTTCTTGTTTTGAGTTTTTGGAGATGAGCAGGTTAAGCACTTTCAGAATCTGGGATCGGGCAGAGAGACATGGAAAGCATCTGATGACATAATGTTGGAATTTCGGCGTGACCCGAATTCTTGTTGAGTATTTGATTGGAAATACTATTGGAGGACTATTGAGAGTTGGCTCTAGACTTTAAGACCACAACTTATATCCCTTCACACCTAATTTATATCCAAGAAAGATGCACTTTTTAGATTTAAGTTCTAACTTCCTGTTATCCACATGAGCATAAGCAGGACATTCAAATATTTTCAAATTAGAATAACAAGGTTTACCAGACCATAACTCTTCTAGTGTCTTTTTCTTAATGGCAATTGAGGGTGAACGATTAATAGAAAATAAGCTATAGTAGCAGTTTCAGCCCAAAAAGTTTTAAGCAATCCAAAATTTAAAAGCATACAACGAACATTTTCCATCGAAGTTCTATTCGTCCTGTTCACATAGCAAATTCATTTCTTAGAATTAAAAGTGGTTATCAGTTTATAATATCCTTTTCTGTTATTCTGGACTAGATATCCTTTCCTACTTGTCTAGATTCTTGGATAAACTTTTTGAGAGTTTCAGTTATAGGTTTAATTGTCCTTGTACCTTGTATACTTTTGGTACGAGGGGTTATCCCCCTTTCTTTCTCGTGATGATGGATTGTTAGATTCGTCCTAAAAATAATTTTCGGCTCTCTGAAACTAGAAATAAGAAAATCAGTAAATAATTCCCTTAGATGTACTAACAATTTAATTTGAATGGCTTTGTCATATGTAAATACCCTTAGATAGATGTGATATTAATGTGTATGTGTACGTCTCTCAGTATGTTCGTACGGATCTATTGTGTTAAAAATGGAGGATGCCAATGCTACTATGAGAGAGCATTTGTTGTCTCATATTACATCAGATTTTATCCCTTCTTTGAATTGGCATGTTTTCACATTTGTTGAGTTTAATGAAGTGCTTAACTGGCATTGTATCGTCTACAGGATTGAAACGGAATGCCGGTTCAATCCAGGAGGCTGGTTTGAAATCCGGATTCGCTGAGGTTCACACACTTTTCTTTCTTCATGAAACTACGCAGCAAGCTTCCAAATCAGGCGCTTGCTCTGGGTACTAATAGCCTATAGAGTATAAAGGGGCTATGGAGAGGCACGCTGATGAGTGAGTTTCACTCATTGTTTTAATGTCACTTAAACTTAATATTTTGGTTGTCTTTGAGCAATTTAAAACGTTTTGATGTATTCGTGTTGTTTTACAGATTAGGTAACTTGGTGAAAACGGCAAGTTTGGAGCATGAAAAGGAGCCAAAGTTTATATGAGTATGGATGAACTCAAAGGGACTTAGAATTAATCTTAGAAGATGGAAAGAAAAAAATAACCAACGCAAGAAGAAGGAAAAATTTAGAAGCCGAGCACCGCAGCATCGTGATCGAGTGCTGAACTTGGCACGCAATGCCCATCACGACCAAAAAAAAAAATACAGAGATATGGCGTAGTAGAGCCAGACCCTCGGCGCCACAGCACTAGCGAGCATAACATCGCGGCGTTGTCGCACTGCTAAGCAAGCGTCGAGACGCTGCTTGCGAAAAAGTGATTTTTTTTTGTTAATTTTTTATTCTTTTAAGGCCCAATTCATAGAAAACGGGAGAAGACTATAAATACAACCCTAGATACCATTTTGAGAGATGAGAAATTTGACGACGCAAGAGACAAAAACAAGATATTGATCTAGAGGAAGAAAGACAACATCAAGGAGGAGAATGCACGTGCCAAATCAGTTTTTTTCATTCTTTTCTTCTTCATGTTCCTAATACTAGATTGGATTGTTTATTTTCTCTTATTCATGAACTAAAATTCTAGAATTAGGGTTTGATATAACCTAACTTGAGACATGTTTTGATTTTAATATAGTTATTTCTTTTAGTTTTTCCATGAGTTTATATTTGTTGATTCTTGTTTATTGTTTTCAATTACCCGATCAATAATTGAATGATTTGATATTTAAATTTGACTCTCGGGAGAGGAAAATTTAAGCGCGATCTAAAAATAACACTTATAGGTTTTGAGAGAAAGTATAAAACATTTGAATCATGTTCCACTTAAGAACCACGAACTTGATAATTTTTAGATTTTAATTCAGAATAAAGATATTGGAATTAAAATATAGAGATAGGTTTTATTCGACACTCGAGGGAGATGATAGAATTAATTTAGGGTTCTTGCTTATAAATTTAGGAAAAATTGATAGAAGTAGTTAATATTGTTGATAGTGTGGTGAAATCATTCCATATGCTTTCTCATTTTGATAAATTTCTCGTATAACTTGTGTTGATTTAGTTGAATTTGCCACTGCACCCATTTTTAGATTAGTATAAAAACATTGATTCTAAAAACCTTTTTTTTTTTTTTACAATTCTTTACTTACTATTTACTTACAATTTTGAATTTAAATTTGAAACTTATATTTTTTTTTTTGGAAACTTTGAAAAAATGTATAAAGTTCCTATAAATCTGTTTTGAATGTTTAATAAGTATTATTTTTAATTGATTAAAAATTAAATAAGAAAACGCATTTTTACGCATTTTTACGCATATGCCTCGCCTAAACTTGCCTAGCTCTGGGCTTGACCTCCACGTATCGCCACACATTACGTCTTTTAGAACACTGCAATATACCTATACGTTTATGGACTCACGATGATTTTAACTTGTATAATAATACACCTTACATATACTTTGGAATTTGGATATATGCTTCAAGATTCGCTTTATATATACACTCGCTCAAATCTTATATCTCTGATATGAAGTTGTGATTTTTGTAAAATTGGTATTTAAAAAGTTCTACATTATAAAATACTTCTATTTGTACGTGATATCCTTATCACAATTTAACATTTCGATTTCATTCGAGAGCAAACTTTTCTTTAAAACTAAAAAAAAAACTACATTGTGGAGGGGTAGCTTGACTTCCTTGTTATTAATTAGATGTTAATCTCGAACCTCTCTATTTCTCTAAAATATCAATTTTTATTTACACCGAAAGAAATTAAAATGACTTAATACAAACATGTGAATTCCCAATAATCGCGAATGATGGAGATCAAGCTCCACATGTTTCAATTTCCTAATTTGTTGAAAAACCTCCTCGAAAGTATAAAGGGTTTAGGAAACGTAAAATCAAACCTCTAACAAACAAACATAAACGAA